TTGTAGCTGGTTTGCACTCATATTTAATCTTGAACACGGGGCACGTTGCTAATACTCAAGTATTTTTCTCAGAGGCTCTGGGTGGAAGGGTGCAGCCTGGTCATCATTAAACAGTACTTTGGCGAGTATTAATACTCCAGACTTCTCGAAAGGGCTAACAGAGGGCAGGCGCACCTCCGGGTGCCCACAGACTTTGCTCTCCGGGAGCGTCATGCTGTTAGCCATTACTCAGCAATGCCTCAGTATTTTTAGCATCGCAGCGAGTGACCCGAGAGCTGCGTATTCAGCTAGAATTACTGCCGCATGCTAGTGGAGGGGGAGACGGCTTCTCTCTACAATCACTGCACCCCAAAAAGCAACAGCACACGGTGTTACCCGAGTACTTCTCAACGGGGCCTGGAAAGCCACGATCACGCTAGAAGTACCAAGCTGCTTTCCTCAGGGTATTTATTTGGCAGCATTTGTGTCTGCTCCTATCAATTTATACTACTCTAGCATTGTCATAGCTCCACAATCGATACTCATGGAATAGCGCTGCTTTTGTGTAGAGCCGGGTTCCTCCAGGGGCTACACTCATGTGGGTAACGGCTGATTTTTAAGGGGTGGGGTCTGGAGTATCTTTGGAGTATTTTTCCCCCCAAGGGAATTCTGCTAGATATATATATATATGTTTTTGCACTGCTCTCCTGGTTTATACGGCTGTCTTAACTGGGGAGGGGTGATTGGCTGGGAATTATGGTAATATTTCTGTAACCAGAGAGCATCAATTCACGGGAAATGATGGCAATATAGAAACATTGCCATAATTTAGCATTAATTGTTGCTCTCTGGTTATAGCAATATTACCATAATTCATAGCCAATCACCCCTCCCCAACTAGGGGAGCTAATGATTCGCTGGGGTAGCAGTGATTTGCAGGAAATTACGGTAATATGTCTATGACCAAAGAGAGAGACATTGCTGTAAAGTATGGTAATATTTCCAGAACTGGGGAGCTATGATTCGCTTTAAATTAAGCAGTATTAAAATGTATAAATATTGAAATTATGGCAGTATTTCCATACCTGGGAGTGATGATTCACTGTACATTAGGGCAATCTTTAGATGGTTAAATATTTGCATATTTACATATTAATTATGGCAATAGTTACTAATAACACGCTAGTATTATTATTCCTTTTTTAAAAAATGTATATATTTTTATTACTTTAAAAATATATATATGAACATATTATTTTTTTTAAGTATGAATGGGAGTGAGCATAAATTTCCAAAGAAAAAAGCAGTGTGTGTGTGCATGTGTGTGTGTGTATACATGCACATATACACATACCCATTTACACACACACACACACACACACACACACACACACACATATATGAATAAAATAATACTCGTTATACTTATTATAACAATTTCGGCGGTCATCTATCCATCTATTGATAGGCAGATAGATGGATACACTGACAGACAGATACACACACACACACACACACACACACACACTTTTACTAGAGAAATTGCCACAAGTATAGCAAGCATTATAATATTCTAATTATCATTACAGCAATTATATAATTATTATTATAATGATTATAATATTGTAATTAATGACCATGGTGTGGTACCTAGCATTTAATGACCACAGTGTGGTGCTCTAGTACCGAAATAACACAGCAGAATACCCTAGTGCTTAAATTTCACGACACGATACCCTAGTATTTGAATACCATGGCATGGCACCCTAGCATTCACTGACCACAGCATGATACCCTAGTATTTAAATACCACCGCACATTACCCTAGCATTTAAATGCCACCACACCGCGCCCTAGTATCTGAATATCATGGCATGATACCCGAATATTTGAATTTCATAGCATAATGCCCTAGTATTTGAACATCCTGTAGTGATACCCTAGCATTTACTGACCACACCACGATACCCTAGCATTCAAATGCCACAGGATGATAACCTTCCAATTAAATTTCACAGCATGGTACCCTAATACTTAAAGACCACAGCACGACACCCTAGTATTTAAATATCATGCTGTAGCATTTAATGACCCTGGTGTGGTATCCTAGAATTCACATGCCACGACACAATACCACAGTGTGGCACCCCTGTTTTTAAAGACCACGGTGTGGTACCCTGGTATCTAATGACCACAGTGTGGTACCCTGGTATCTAACAACCGCAGTGTGGTACCCTAGCAGGTGAAGAAGCATTGGGGAGCTAATATGAGCGCAGAATTGCACGGGGGCCATTCCAGAATTAGGCAGGCTGACAATTAATTGAAACAACCTAAGTGATTAATACTACAGCACATCTGCACCTCCAGGTGCAGGCGATATCAATGTCAGGGACTCGGTGACGACTCTAGGGACTGGGGGAGGTTATGTCCTTTGGCAAAAAAACCGAAAACAAAACCCTGGAGTATCTCCTAGCACCACGCCAGTATTACTCAAGTATTCTCTCACCCGGTCTCCGATTCAAACCCTGGGCCTTCATCTCGATTTGCATTCGATTTGCATGGCTACTTCCAACACCCCTGTGTGTTACTCTCTCACGCTGATGTATTAGTCTAGTAGATTTGGTCCCAGGGCTATTGTGGTGACTCCAGGATACTGTAGTATGTGCCTTAGCCAGGCATCTCTTCGAAGTCATTCCCAGCTTCGAGAGACGTACTGCACACACAGAAGGGACTGGGAATACTGGAATATTTCTTGACGTGGTATCCTTGCGGGTAGCTGCAGTAATTGCTATGATGACCACAGCCAAACTGCAATGGAGGAAAACCCCCACCCTCATACAAGTGAAAATACTGGAGTATCTTTTCAAACGGTTGCTCCCGGGGGAAGAAATATTGTGGGCATTTCGAGCAGGCAGAGGTCCCAACCTAATTAGACTCCCAGATTGCAGCAATCTCAGCTCAGTGGCCAAGGGAGTATTGATACTCTGAGAGGGCAGCGTCCGCACCTCTTGGCCAAAATAGCATCAATATTCCAGTATTCTTAGCTAGGGTAACGGTACTCTGGAATGCACCCGCTCAATGGCCAATGGTAGTATCGTTAATCCAGTATCCCAGATAGAGTAGCGCCAATGCTTCTTGACCAGGGCAGCATCGATACTGTAGTATTCCCAGATAGGATAACCGAGGTCCCCAGTAAGGCAACACCAACCAGTCAGATTGCCAAGGTAGTATCAATACTCCAGTATTCCCAGATGGTCTCCCCCGTACAGCAAAGCCAGCTCAATGGCCATGGTAGTAGCAATACTCCACAATTCCCAGATAGGGTATGATACACCCCAATACAGCAACACCAACTCAATAACCCAGGTAGCATCAATACTGAAGTATTCCCAGATACAGTAACAATACCCTCCAATACAGCAACAGTAGCTCAAGGGCCGAGCAAGTACTGATACTCCAGCACTCCGGGATAGGGTAACAACAGTCTCCAATACAGCAACAGGTAATATCAATACTCCAGTATTCCCAGATACAGCAACAGTGTCAGCGCTCCAGTATTTGTAGATTGATGCTCTGTCTTCCTTAATGTAGTATCAGTGCGCCAACTTTCTTGGTCAATGGGGTATGGATCCCCCCCCACCCCCCGCCATGTGCCCATACTGGATTATCAATGCTTTGCCATACTGGGATGCTATAGCATCCATTCCAAAGCATTCCCAGGCAGGGCCACAACCCCTTGACACTGTGGCCTTAGTTACCCCCAACCCCACTTGGTACCTGGGTATTCATTTTCTCAACGCCACCCCCCCTCCAGGGTAACAGCCTACTAATACTCCACAACATGCCTCAGTCCTTACTCTTGGGGATGTTGGACTCCCTCAGGTCCTCAATACCAACCCCGCAAGGGCTGGTTACTCTAGTCACGTCCAGAAAATACTCTGGGCTTCTCCTCCCCAACAGCTCATTGCCCCGGCCAGGCTGTCCCTAATGCAGTGGCACTTCAGTACCAGAGTATTAGGGGCAATACCCCAGTGTCAGCCTTACGACTCCAACTTTCCTTTGACTCAGCAACAGTGCATGGATACCCCCATATTCCAACACCTGGGGGCAATACTGGAGCATGTCCACTCGCTGATACCCCAACACCTGGAGCAACACTTCAGCATGTCCCCTCACTAATGCTCCAACCTCTGGGGGTAATACTTGAGTATATATCCCTCACTGATACTCCAGCACCTGGAGGCCCTACCTGAGTATGTCCCCTGACCAGTGCCCCAGTACACGGGGGAGGGGCTATCCGAGTACATCCCCTCCCAATACTCAAACACCCGGGGGCAAAACTTGAGTGTACACACACACACACACACACACACACACACACATTGATACTCCAGCACCTGGGAACAATACCCAAGTATGTCCCACCACGGATGCTCCAGGGCCTGGGGATAACACCCCTGAGTATGAGTATGCCCCCTAATGCTCCAACATCTGGGGGAAATACCCAGGTATGTCCCACCACTGGTGCTCCAGCATCTGGGGGGAGATACTCAAGTATTTCTCCTAACACTTCAGCATCTGTGCGCAATGCCCACACAGACCCCTCGCTAATACTCCAGCCTCTGGGGGCAATACCAAAGCACATCCCATCCTGGATACCCTAGTACTCAGGGGGGCAAATGCTCAAGCATGTCCCTGGATAATGCTCCCTCATCTGGGGGTGATACTCAGGTGTGTCCCACTGATCATACCCCAATCCTCAAGCATGTCCTCTGATACCCCCACACCGGGACTGGCGGAGATGATACTTGGTATTGCCCCAGCACCAATGCTCTGGTACTCACCAAGGGGCAGTATTCAGCCAAACCCCTGCCCGGAGGGGACTTGAAAACTGCCAGCCCCCTGAACCCAGGACATGGACGGGCACTGGTGTTGTGGGAACCCCTCCTCACCCCCCCAGCCAGGTGCAAACTGCGGGTGGAATGGCGGGGGCCCCCCCCCCCCCCGGGGGGGGGGGGGGGGGGGGGAACCAGGCATTTGGGGGAAAAGGAAGTGGGGAGAAATGGAGTGATGGATGGCGAGATGGCAGTGAACAAAACCCCTTAGATTTGCCGAGGGCGGCGCCGCTCCCTCGTTAGGGCTCGTTACTGTCTCGTTACATCAGCAGTAATAGGAGGAGGAGGAGGAGGAATATCGTTATCGTGAGCCGTGGTATCATCATCATCGGGAGGGGAGGCGCGGGGGGGGCGGATTGTGTGTCGTGTGTGTGTGTTGTGCGTGTGCGTGCGTGTCTGCACGTGTGTGTCACCACCGGGGGTTCACAAGCCCAGGGTGCCCCCGATCGTCGACGCCAAGACCACGCCCAGCACCACGCAACAGATTATGATCATGATTTTCTTCTACGTTACCCCAGCGAGGAGGAGAGGAGAGAGGGGTCCGGGAGAGCAATGGGAGGAAAGAAAGAAGGAGAGAGAGGCGTTAATGGGAGGGGGAACCAGGGGGAGGACCCAGGGACGAATGCTCCTGGACTCGGGGCCAATCCCTGAGTATGCCCCACCTTCGGAGGGGGATTACAGGTACCAAGTCTGCCCCGTGGAGGGGGAAGGTCACAGATACCAATACTCGAGGGCCAATACCCACGTATGCCCCACGGAGGGAACAAGTTACAGGTATGGACGTCCCAATACTCAGGGCCAGCACCTGAGCATCCCTCATGGAGGGGGCAGGATGTAGGTATTAGCACCCCAATACCATGGGCTGATACCTGGGTATGCCCCACAGAGACGGGCAGGTTGCAAGCACTAATGCTCCGATGCTCAGGGCCGACACCTGAGTATGCCCCACAGAGGGGACAGGTCCCAGTACTCCCCAAACCATGGCCCGGTACCTGAGTATGCCCACACAGAGAGAGCTGGGGACAGGTAGTAATACTCCAGTACTCATGGCCGGTATATGAGTATGCCCCATGGAGAGGGTGAGACATGGAGACTTACGCTCCAGTACCTGGGGCTAACACCCGAGAGTGGCGTGTGGGGTGGGGTGGGGGTGTCCACAGGTACTAATACTCCAGTAGTCAGAGCGGGTACCCGACTATGCCCTGCAGGCGATGCTGAGAGACGGACGATCCTCTATGGGCGTTCAGTTCTAGGTCTCCCAACACTCCCAGCTCTACAAGTTCTAGATCCATTAGACCTCGCCCATCCAGCCCCTCTCCTCATTGGCTCGAGTAGAGGAGGGCAGGGTTTAGAAGACATCATCTGCAGGAGCCCCACCCCCCTGCGGTCCCGAACACGGGACGGGGGGTCTAGAACCCACCGTGGCCCCAGGTACTCATGGGAGGATCCTGAGGCCCCCACAAACCCCCGGGGCACGAATGCTCTAAGCGTGGGCACTGGACAGGAACCCAGGAGTCCGGGCTCCCAGTCCCCCGCTCTCACCCTCCAGCCCCCACTGCCCCCGGAGACCCGAGCTCCATCTGCAGACGCCCTATGACCTCCTTGCCACCCCACACGCATCTTCCCACCCTCGCGGTGACTCGCTGCAGCTGGCTGGTCCCATTGCCAGGAAACCGAGGCGGGGCCCCAGTTACCATCCCCAGGCACGTGGGGAGAGGGTGTGGGGAGAGCTGCAGTTCAGGAGTGAGGGGCACCGCTGTGGAGGGGCTGCGGGCTGGGAGCGAGGGGCACCAGACAGAGCCTTTGGGGATACAGGGGGCTGCGGGTCAGGAGTTTGGGGTTCCCCCATGGGGGGAGCCCGGGCTGGGAGCCCCCCACTCACCCTCCGAGCCTTGCTCTGATATTTGACGGCTTTCTTGGTGTCCGACACAGCCCTCTCCACGTAGTCCACCGAGTGCTCCACGTTGTACTCGATGCGGTCGATCATCTCCCCCTGTGGCCGGCATCTCCCGTGAGGGCCCCGTTCTGGGCAGCGGCGACCCCACTCCCACCTGCCTGGTCACTTGAGGGGCGGGGGTGTCTTTCCCCTCCCTCTGGCTGCCAGGGCTCAGGTCCTCTAGGAGCTTGGATTCCAGGTCACCCAATGCTCCCCGTTGTGTTGGAGGGTCTAGGACCCACCCAGGTTTTAGGGCCCCCATGACTCAGGGTAGGTGAAGATAGGGCTAGGACCATGGCCGTTCCCCTCCCACCAGTGTCCGGGCCTCAAATCCTGTAGGAGCCTCAGTTCTAAGTCACCCAACGCTCCCAGTTGTGGTTTGGGTGGTCTAGAGGATCGAAGGCGTCCCCCCATGACTCAGGGTGGGTGGAGACAGGGCCAGGGCCTTCCTGCTCCCACCAGGGTCTGGGGCTCAAATCCTCCAAGAGCTTCAGTTCTAGGTCGCCCAACGCTCCCGGTTGTGTGTTGGGGAGTCTAATACCCACGGGGCAGCTCTGGGAGGGGGGACATGGCCACACACAGTGCTGGGGGGGCAAGGGGTGGGCAGGGCCTCACCTGGCTCTCTACCAGCATGGCCATGTCCACGAACATGTCGTGCAGCTCCCGGATGCTGGTCTCCAGCTTGATGATCTCGTTGTGCCGGGTCTCGATCTCGTTCAGCGCCTGCTTTGTCATCTGGGAGTCCATCTTGATCTGGGGGGGCGGGGGGGTATATCAGCAGAGCCCCACTTCCAGGCCCGGCGGGGTGGGGAGGGGGAAGGCTCAGAGATGAGGCCAGCTCGGGTGGGACGACTGAAGTACGGCTGCATATAACACTGTAAGGAAGCCTGGGATGCAGCCAGCTCTGGGGTGGAACGACTGAGGTACGGCCACATGTTACACTGCGTAGGGAGGGCCGAGCTGCATCTAGCTCTGTGGTGGGGTGACTTTGTAACAGCCACATATAACACTGCATAGGCAGGCTGGGATGTGGCCAGCTCTGGGGTGGGACCACTGAGGTACAGTGGCATACAACACTGCATAGGGAGACAGAGAGGAGAGCTGAGAGGCAGCCAGCTCTGAGGTGGAACAGCTAGATAGCAACTGCATATAACACTATGGGGAAGCTTGGGATGCGGCCAGCTCTGGGGTGGAACGACTCAGGCATATAACACCGTATAGGGAGACTGAGATGCGGCCAGCTCTGGGGTGGAACAGCTAGGTAACAGCTGCATATAACACTCTGTATAGGGCCAAAATGCAGCCAGCTCTGGGGTGGGGACTGGCCGCGAGGCACGTACGTCGTCGGTGAAGATGGCCAGCTTCCCACTCTCCAGCATGTCCTCCAGCTCCTCATTGGTGGTCGTGCGGCCAGCTGAGGGGGGAGCAGGGTGGAGGGGTGGTCAGCCAGCCCGGATGCCTGGGTTCCCTGGAGTGGGGGCTGGGAGCCCGGACGCCCAGGTTCCCTGGGGGTTCCCTGTCCCCGTACCCCCCGCCCCCGGCATACTGATCTCCAGCTGGCGCTGGATCCGGTCCTTGCAGCGGTCGCGGTACTTGGACTGGGTGGCGTTGTACTCCGTCATCACCTCCACGAACTTGCGGGACAAGGTCGAGTGCTGGGGAGGGGGAGGAGAAGCATGGCATTGTGGGAGGGGCTATTTTTCATCCCCTCCCCTCCCCCTGGGTGGAAGGATACGCTTCCCTGGGGCCAGGAATGGACTCCTTCGGGGGGAACTCACAACAGCGGAGGGCTACGTGGCCAGGGCAGAGCGATACGTGGCCTGGGTGGAAGGATACATGCACTGAGGGGTGTTTGGTGGAGGGACATGTGACCCGCACGGAGGGACACTCATGCCAGGAAGAGGCTGGGGGGGCACTGCAAGGCCAGGCGGAGGGATATGGGGGCCACACAGCGGCTGGCAGAGGGATACGTGGCCTGGGCAGAGGGACACAAGTGCCAGGAAGACGCTGCAGGCTGGGGGGATCCGGGCGCTAGACAGTGGTGCAGAGGGTACGTGGCCTGGCGGAGGGGTACGTGGCCCAGGATGAGGGACAGGGCCCCGGGCGGAGGGATACCTGGGTCTTGCGGATGCGCAGGTCGGCCGAGGAGCGGTTGAGCCCCTCCTCCTGCTCGATGCTCTGCTCGATGGCTGCAGGCACAGCGGGGCAGGGTCAGCGTGGTGCGGGGGGGGGCGGCCCCGCCCCCGCCCAGATGGCCACCACAGGCGCCCCACC